TCAGAAGAAGGCAGATGGGTTCCGCATGAATTGTCCGAAGACACAAAAATCGTCGGCGTGACACTGCACTCACTTTGCTTTCAAAGTTCCGGAAAAAAGATTTTCTGCACAAAATCATTACAGGCGATGAAAAGTGGATTCTTTATGATAACCCTAAACGTAGAAAATCATGGGTTGACCCTGGTCAACCTTCAACATCGATGCCAAAGCCTAATATCCACGCCAAGAAAGTTTTGCTCTGTATCTAGTGGGATTGGAAAGGTATGTTGTATTACGAGTTGTTACAACCGGGTGAAACAATCGGCAGACCGCTACCAACAACAATTGACCAATTTGAACGATGCATTAGAAAAAAAGAGGCCATTTACTGGCCAGGACGTCGTAAAGTGATCTTGCTTCATGACAATACTCGACCACATGTTGCGAAAGCGACTCAGGACCATATCTTTGCGTTAGGCTGGGAATTTCTTCCGCACGCGGCGTATAGCCCAGACATGGCGCTTTCCGATTACTATTCCGGTCGCTGCAGCATCATTTGGCTGATACACATTTCGAGAGAGTTGAAGAGATACAAAAATGCATTGATGACTTTATCGCTTCGAAGCCGGTAAGCTTCTATCGTCGTATGGAATTCGCAAGCTACCCGAAAGATGGTAAAAGGTCGTTGATACAAACGGAATATTTCGCTGATTAATATTTTTTTGTTTGTTTTTGAATAAAGATTGAATTTTACAAAAAAAGCTCAGAACTTTTTTGTACACCTAATAATTTATGTTAATTTGCGTTTATTCCATGAGGTTAAGTGCGCTACCGATTTAATACACAAAGATTATATTAGATGTAAGTTTACAAAATTGATTCAGTTTAAATATCAATAAAAATTATTTTCTTGTGTTATAATGGTATATATTAATATTTATTTAACATTTCACTATTACATCCCTATATAATATCATTTATGACAATTTTTGTCACCTATTGTTCTTCACATCACACTATATGTAGATTGCTTGCCTATAGTCAATTTCAACGCATGTGCAGAAAGAACGAGTATCACTTGTATATCTTTCTCTCTCGCACATCTTTGGCACACTTTCGGTGTCAATATTCCCCTTCCATCTATATACTCAGAATTGAAGACTTCGATGGAATTATTGATGTTATAACTCCTATTTAAATAAGTCGCATTTACACATTCAGGCTTGTCTTACTCTCACCAAGCTGAAATAGCTTAACAATTTTCAAATGAAGTGCGTCAAGGATTTTCATTAATATCAATATAAAGTGACGAAAAATTAGACAAATACTTGCTTGTGGTAAGATTGTAGCATAAAAAAACGTGATTTTCATGCTTTTTGGTTTCCATTTCTTATTTTCTAATCTCTCTTTCTGTATGGCATAAAATATTAAATAACCAACCCTATAAACAATGAAGAGTCAAGACATTTAATTTTTACGGTTGGCATTATCCTTAGGCTGGTTAATACTAGCCTAATGTAATCATTTGTTGAACAACAAATTTTTCAAGCATCTTGATTGATTGCAGGATAGAAAGTTTCTAGAGACTCAAAAATTTCTCTATTCTGCAGCCAATCAATACGTCTGAAAAATTTATCGTACAACACATGTAATAGCATCCTTACACTGCAGCCGTTTACACGGTTTTTTTACGTCATGTAGCAACTGTAAGGCTGGTTCCCCATGCAGCGTATTGCACGTATCGCGGATCGCGCGTATCGAAAATCTAACCAATTGCGGACGTTCTGCTGTTTTCGATACGCTGTTTTCGGAGTGTTTCGTAGTCCCATGATGCGGAATTCGTGTAAACAGATCAGGCGAATAGCCAATCACAAACAATTTTCGTTATTTCCCTTCATTTAAACAGTTTTGTAATTGGTAAACCGCTGATTTATTTACGCTCATTCCACTTCATGAGACAGAGGAACGAAACTCTCGCGTACCGAAAACAGCGGAACGTTCGCGATAGAAAAAAATCTAACCTCTGCGCAGTCATTTCTTTATTTTTGACAGAATTGCTAAAGAGAATCACGTAAGTATCAAATAATTAAAATTATGTACATTATAACAATATATTGCAGTATACATTAGTATGTTTATACACTAGCAGCCAAAAATGCCTTCCCCCTTAAGTTAGTAGCGTTTCAGGCAGAATATATCCACTCAGATAACAAAATGCGCGCACAGTATGTTCACGAAGCGCGCACGTCGTGCGAACTATTCGCACAGCTTGTGCTCACGGCACCCGACGGATGCGTCATCATATGAAACTCATATCGCTCGCACTCATGAGTGTCGCACGCGTGCGGATGATATGAATCTCAAATGAGACTCCAAACTCACATTGTTCGTATGCATTAGTGAACAATAAAAGTATGTGAAAAAAATGTAATAAAAATGCGTAATGGTTGGAATTTTTTATGGTGTTTTATAAATTTGTAAATCAAATAGTTTTGCTACTATTTGTAAATCAAATTGCATGTAAAAAAAATCTACAATAAACTGCAAAGTGCCTCAACTTATATTGAGAACTATACACAAAGCGTGAAAATGTTAGTAATTTGTTGGAATGTAGCTGTCTAAATTGAACAAAAAAAAAACATTATTATGAAAGATTATATCTTAATAAAAAAATAATACTTGAAATACTGAAAAAATAATACTTGAAAAGAAACAGTAAAACGTATACACAGAAATTGAGAAAATAAACATATTATATATTATAAATATATTAAAATAAACATATATTATATTAAATAAACATTTGTATATATAAAATATCAATATATTTTTATCAATATATTTTTTATATAAACTCAATATATCTGCAATTTATCTGCACTTAATTTATCTGTAAAAATATATAACAAATGCCTGACTGTGGCAATTCCATGTGTCCCTGTTGGATTAATCTTTGAGAATGGTAGATTCTGATTCGTCAGTCTCAAACTTAGCAATTACTTGTCTCACTTTCTTGCGATATCATTATTTTATAACCCGTAAAACCTCCAGCATTTCTGCTTTAAATTCTATCTTATTTTCAGGGCCTTTAAAAAGCGGGCATTTCTGTGTTGCAATTGAAAAAAGAAAATGAACCGTATAGTATCAGTTACATGAGTAAATAAATTTATAAACACATTAAAAATCAATGAAGGATATGTTTTATGTAATGTGTATGTATATGCATGTGCACGCGTGTGCGTGGATGTGTGTGTGCGCGCATGATCGTGTGTGTGAATAACACAATTGTATTATATAAATGAATATAAATAATTAGTATATATTAATAATTATAATTATAAAATATCTGTATAACTGTATAATAAATTAGACATTTTTGTGTTGCCAAAGTCCTTAGTTTCAACCTCACCGAAGTGATTAACTAATTCGTCAGTCATTATGTGATTTAGAGATGTATGCAAAAATTCTCTCAATTTCGCATCTCCCAAAGATTGTAAATAACATTACACGGAAACAAAAATAAGATATATTATTAATTATATTTTATTTTTGAATGCTATACCCAATTAATATTCCAGTAACTGATATATATTAGATTATACAATGTAATGAATTTATAAATTTACTCACCAATTTATTGCGTTCATTTATTTTGGTCTCACTCTCAAGGTCATAAAAGTCTTCCAATGATTTCAATAGAAAGCCATCGAGAGGCTCGTAAAACGTTTTAGAGATCTCGTCTGTACTCATTGACAATTTTTCTAAGATCTTTTTTATTTGCAAAATTATTTGTTCTATGCGCTTCAAGTAGAGTTTCGTATTGAGTTTCCAGTATTCCAAAAAATACAAATATTGTAATTAGATAATATGAAATATAAAATATTATTGTAACTTTTAGACTATTAAATTTTTATAATGTAATTGCAAATTTTGTTGCAAAGGATTATATTATTTTCATTTAATATTTATATTTATATTTATTTAATTAAAAAATCACTTTTTAAAAATTTGTTATTTGAACAAAATCATGTAAGTATTATCATAATATACTATAATAGTATATCATACTGTCATGAGTGAGTAAGTTGAAAATGTTTTTATAAAACTCATGTTACATATTTTCTCGCAACAAAATTAGAAAAGAAATGACATTAATTAACCAAGAAAAATAAGATTCGCGTTTCTCTTACCCGTAAAATGTATAGATATAAAAAATCTCAATTACTTTACTGTTTAGCATTGAAAGTAAAAACATTAGGGTCTTGAAGAGGTCTTATATAAATGTTGAAGAATGCTCATAAATTTTAGAACAAAAATCTAATATGAATTATTGAACTTATAAGAGTATGTAATATTTGTAATATATGTAATTTGTAATATATGTAATTTTTGTTTTAGAACATATGAAACATCACGGTACAATAAGGCAAACAATTTTTATAGTCGGCAATAAGTTCATTTTGAAATTTTTTTTCACACAGAAGAGTCAATTTATTTGATTAATATCCGAAATATTTCAACAAGTTACTTACTTAAATTTTTCAAGTATATCATGACAGTTAATATACTTGTTGCCATGCATATACGTATGATGACCGAAGGAAGTGTCATGTACTCTTTCCTTCTGACAGCATAACAGGAAAAGGTGAACTTCCACTTTATTCTGATATAATTATTATCAAGGGAATCATTAGTAATTGCTTCATTTCTATTGAATAAAAAATAACAAACGTATATAATAAAATGAAATATTATACAGGGTGTCTCACAATTACCGTACAATATTTTAATAGTGTATTCTAGAGGTAAAGTAGAAAAAAATCTTTGTACGAAAATGTTGAGACTACAATAGTTTTCGAATTATAACCGATTAAATGTAAACAGTCATATCGCGAAGTCGCGCGCTTGGGTTTGTAGTTACACAAACTCGTGCATCGATCTGTCATCTGTTATTGATTTTCATTTAATAATTTTTAGCAGCGGATTACTAATAGCATTATAAATTCTATTATTAATTTTTATTATAATAATCTAATAGTTTTATATTTGAGAATCAAAATTTTTTGTATTTTTAACAAAAAAGAGCCTGAGCGTGTGAATTTTACTATATTACTAGTTATCTTTGATCGGTTATAATTCAAAAACTATTGTAGCCTCAACATTTTCATAAAGATTCTTTTTTTACTTTGTCTCTAGAATACACTATTAAAATATTATACGGTGGTTGTGAGACACCCTGTATATACTCAATATATTCATAAATTATTTATTATTACTAATTTACATTTACACGTAGCTTATAAAGTTTCGAATTTTCAAATTGATACTTTATATTCATATAAAATAATGTTGAATTTGGAGTGATAAAATTGAAATTGTTAATGTATTAATGAAAAGTATTAATGAAAAAAAACATATTTAATTACTTATATTAACATCTACTTACAAATTTTCGTCTATGTGTATCGGATCAGTGTTTATGTATTTTGATGTACTTGATTTTTATTTTCCGGTGACGCATTAATAGATTTTTGCTCCCTTTCTTTTATGAAAAGACGTAATCGGTCGTAATTCTGCTTTCATATTTCTTTCATCCTTGAATTTTTTTCTTTGTTTAACCGTCGTTTATCGTCAGACGTTTATCATTATCACGTTTTGGACGCGTGATTACTCTGCCACTGGTAATAGAAATTTTTAAAGTTTTCTTTTCTTTTAGTGCTTTGCTCATGTTCAAAGTTTGAATTTCGAAAATTCAATAATAATAATGTTTAATCGTCTACAAATATTTTTATTTTTATTTCACAAAATTAATGATAATTTTTTCCTTATAAACATTGTTGTCGTTTTTGTTGTATTAGGTTTGCATGATATAGTAAATTTTTACTATTTTAAATGTGAATATTATACCGGATGTTTATTTATAATAGATACTTTTATATGTACATTTTAATTATTAGTAGAGCAGATAGTATAATTTTGTAGTTTCCAATAATTAATAATATATTATATACGATACAGAATATTATTTAATATTGAGGTAATATTAAGGATGTAAGGAGAGATACGCAGATCCATTCATTTGCAACAATGCCTTCTTTGTCACTTCGTTTGGACATCTTGTACATCTTCCATTTCACATTATTTAAATTGATTGCTTCGATTCCTTGTAAACATTAAGACGTCCTAATGGCTTTTCGGATATCCGAAAAGATGTACAGAAAGACGACTAAAGACGTCTTATGTCCTGATTTTAAACGTCTGATAAGACAACTTTTGGACGTTTTACAAAACAACTTTTGGACGTCTTATCAGATGCTTTTTGAACGTCTTATAAGATAACTTTTAGACATTCTTTATGACATTCTCTAGACGTTTTCCTAATTTATTGACAATAATTTTAACACGTTTAAAATAAAAAAGATGAATTTTAGTTTATATTGTTTATTTCATAAACAATATCTACGTCGTACATTGCATATAGTCTATCACATATAGTCATATACAGAATATAAAGATTATAATAAAATATTTTACAAAGTTTACAAGTATGTGAACATAGTTTATAAAAGTATATTGTTACAAAAAATCAAACGAAAGCCAAATCTAAATATATTACAAAGAATCAAAGCTAAATATATTACGAAAAATCGAAGAATCAAATTTATCAATTTACGCTATTCAACACAAAAAATGCATGTCATGAGTTTTAGTTTAGTCATACAATATACACAATTTATTACAATTGCTAACAATAAAATATTTTAATTTTTAATTCTTTTGGACAAGTTTATTTAACACTTATTGTGTGTAGAAAAATATTAACATTAATTAATCGATTTATTTATAGAGAACCGGACGTAAATAATTTATTACAAAGAACCAAACAAAGAACCAACGTTTATAATTTCTATAAGTTCGGAGGTAATATTAGAGACTTTATTGAGGATAGGTTGCGCAAATTTGGAAATAAGTGGCGGAGGCGTGAAAGACTGCGCATTTGAATGATGTAGAATGAAAAAATTCCATAAATCGATGCATGGGTCTAATATCCAAGATTCATACCACAAATTTGAACTAATTAATATATTTATATGACGTTAATTCAAATTGCTGTCAAATTAACATTGATAATGAATATGATCTTCTCTCTATAATTCTCTCTATAACTGACCCCTTAATTTATGTAGAGCGCGACGATTGAGTTGACAATTGGCTCGATTGTGTTAACCATAAAAATGCACAGTCAGTTACATTTTATTATTTTGTCAAATTACTTAAAATTTTCGTGAGTCTTATTAATTATGAATATTTACCATTCGCATATGACCGATTTAGAGGAATTAATTCCATTTGAAATTATATTTAATTAATTATAATGTATTCCTATATAAATGCTGCCATTATTTTATAAAATTTATGTCTACTTTTATCATATTTCAATAGATAAGACAATAATCAAATAATTTTCGCTTAAAAATTTGATTTGTGATTGTACTTTTTTTTGTTACAATTTTATTATATCTCAATTACATATTAATTAAATTTTCATACATCAAATCATTATGAATTGAAGCGATTTTATAAAATAAGAAAAGAAATACTATCTATTTTCGATAATGTTTTTTCTTAGAAAATTAATAATAACTCAAGTTAACAATAATCATAAATCTATAGAAAGAATAGATGAAATGTGAAATGGAAAAATCCATATAATGGTCCATTAACTACGTTACTTATTTTTAAAATGACTTACTTTCCGTATATTGCATATATAACTTATGATTCGACAAATAGCCGTCTCTCTTACATTTCGCGACAATTTGAAAAAGTTATTTACGGTTCATAGATTTTTTAACATAACAAAAAGCGAATTGCAATATATAGAATATAAATCATATAAAAATCGCCCATACGAAATATTACACAATAATGTAGAATTCTCGAACGTGTGCGTGTTTCTCCGTGGATGTTCTTTTTGTTTGCACACAAATAATTTTGCAAGATCAACCGCGCCATGTCAATTTTGCTCGGTAACATTCTATTTAATGATGGCTTAGCAATAGACATCAAATCGATTAGCGCATCCATTGTTTATGCGTTACGTAAAAACATCATGCAACATTGATCGTTTCCTGAATATAATTGCACGATATCAATTGTTGATTAATCGCTTTCTTTCACAAG